TGGTGGTGGTAATAGTAGTCGTCGTAATCGTCGTCGTCGTCGTCGTCGTCGTCGTCGTCGGTAGTAGGTAGTACTACGACGACGACTACTGCTGCTGCTGCTACTACCACTACTAGTAGGTAGTAGGTAGTTAGTTATTAGCAGTTTCTTTTTGGTAATATTATATTATTACAGAAACCAGCAGTTGTTATAACTATTTTTTTAAATCGTGGTTGTGGTTGTTGTTGTTGTTGTTGTTCAGACCTTCACCTCGCAGGACCCTGTTTAGAACTTAAGTTTGACGCACTTTGGGCAGGTGGACATTCTGAAGATGAACTTGACCTCAGCGAGGCGCTCGGGCTCGCGCTTTGAATGCTCATGTCAGGTGGGCCCTGGGTGCTGGTGTCGAAGCTGACTGCGCTTGATCTTCACCCTCGCCACCCGATAGGTGGCTGTGGAATGCCAAAGGAGACTCAGCCTACACCTTCCAGCACGTGGAGGTGCATGCTGCTTGGGATTTAGCTGTTGAACCGTGCGCAGGTGGATGAGCTGCACGTACTGCACACATCATTTCTTGTGGTCGTAAGTGGCGTGTTTGCATGTGTCTGCCGTTGGGAGGCTCATGGCGAGTCATTTTGGAGGCGGCGGGGCTTCTTCCGCGCCATGCTCTGCGGCCGGGAGTATTCAATGGTCGAGACCGCAGGGAAAGGGCAATGCACATTTTCAAGATGCATGAAACCCCTAGTCGCGTCCTTGTTCCTATAGTAGTAAGGCCAGGAACCCCTAGTAGCGTCCTTGCTCCTAGTAGCGATGCCCTTTGCTCCTAGTAGCTTCTTGCTCCTAGCATGAAGCCATGAGGGGCCGAGAGTCTGATCTTTCAGGGCGCTACCTGTCACGCTGCAGGACAGGTGGCCGAGGGCTGCTAGAGCGTTTGGTGTTGAATGCGCGTGTACTTCAAAGACGATCAAAAACGGAGCGGAATGATTGTGAGAAGCTGTGGGCCCTGCAGTTAGATGTCTTGCAAGATCTTGCAAAGAAACCCAGATGCCGGGCCTGGGCGCGAGTTATGCATGCATGGTTTTGCCCCAGATAGCGAAGCTATGGGGTTCTTACTTCAAATAACACTGAGTTGCCCGCGCGCGCGCTTTCGAGACAGGTTGAGCTGGCTGTGCATGTGGTGGAGACAGGTTGCTGGTGCCGGTGCTGGTGCTGGGTGCCGGGTGGCGGTGTTGGTGCTGGTGCTGTGAGCTGGCTGTGCACGGGGTGGAGACAGGTTGCTGGTGCTGGTGCTGGTGCAGTGCTGGTGCTGGTGCCGGGTGGCGGTGCTGGTGTTGCATGGTGCTGTGAGCTGGCTGTGCACGTGGTGGAGACAGGTTGCTGGTGCTGGTGCCGGGTGCCGGTGCTGGTGCTGTGAGCTGGCTGCGGGTGCTGGTGCCGGGTGCCGGTGCTGGTGCTGTGAGCTGGCTGTGCACGTGGTGGAGACAGGTTGCTGCAGGTGCCGGTGTGCCGGTGCTGGTGCTGGGTGCTGGGTGCCGTGCTGGTGCTGGTGCTGTGAGCTGGCTGCGCGCGTGGTGGAGACAGGTTGCTGGTGCTGCTGGCTGTGCGCGTTGGAGACAGTGCCGGTGCTGTGAGCTGGCAGTGCGCGTGGTGGAGACTGGGCGCCGGGCTGGGCGCTGGCTGCGTGTGTGGCGGAGACAGGGTGCCGGATGCTGGGCGCTGGGTGGGTGCCAGGTGTGCTGGGTATATACTGGTGCTGGGTGCTGGTGCTGGGTGCCGTGAGCTGGCGTGCCGGTGCTCGGTGCTGGTGCCCGCTTCTCACAGTGAAGTGATAACAATCACCGCTTCTGACAGTGAAGGGTAACAAACCGCCGCTTGCAGCAGTGAAGGGCGACCAAGCGCCGCTTCTGACAATGAAGTGCCAGCAGTCATGGGCCGCATGAACTTATGCACGCAACATCATCATACGGTGTTGTCGCCTGAGCGTTCTTTGTCTATTAGCGCTGTGGGGTATTTACACTCTTCAGGTTCTGTTTTGGCCGACAGCTGTGTCAAGGGCTGTAATGTTTGCGCCCATACCTGTTTTGTACGTACAATGTTCTATGCGCAACGTCGGGCTCTCAACCGACCATTGTTTCAGCATCTTTCGGCGTGCTACATACACAATATACACAATACTGCTTGAGGGCTTTGTCGTTTGAGCGCATACTTTTGTGCGCGTAAACTTATACGCGCAAGATCATACGGCCTTATCGTTGCTTCAAAGCATGCTACAAAGTCAATAGTGGCGCTGGTACTGCTTGGCCTTGGGCCAATGACTCTTACGGGCTTTGCTGTTTGCGCGCATACTTTTAGTGCAGGGATAGCTATGGGGCTCTTGCTGCAAATAAGAATGAGCTGGCTGCGCGCGCTTTCGAGGTGCTGGTGTTGTGGTCCTGGGTGCTGGTGCTGAGAGCTGGCTGAGCGCGCGTTTAAGACGGGCGGCGGCACTGGTCGGGTGCTGGCGCCGCTCGCTGCAGGTGTTGTCAGCTGGCAAAGCGCACCGATGCTGGTGTTAGCTGATTGTGCGCGCTGTGGAGGTGCCGTAAGCTGGCTGCGCAGGCTGCGTGCATTTTTGTTCCAGCCAGTCGCATGTCAACAGGTCGTGGGATACTGCCTGGCTATCTGCGTCTATGCTGGTGTAATTTTTCCCCAGATGGCTGCACGTGGTGGAGACAGGGTGCCGGTGCTGGTGCTGGGCTGCTGGCTGCGGGCTGTGGTGCTGGTGCTGGGTGCTGGTGCTGGGCGCCGTGAGCTCGGTGCTGGTGCTCGCTTCTGACAGTGAAGTGATAACAACCGCCGCTTCTGACAGTGAAGGGTGGCAAACCGCCGCTTGCAGCAGTGAAGGGCGACCAAGACCCGCTTCTGACAATGAAGTGCCAGCAGTCATGGGCCGCATGAGCTTATGCACGCAACATCATATGGTGTTGTTGCTTGAGCGTAAACTTATACGCGCAAGATCATACGTTGTTATTTCCCAAAATAGGGATAGCTATGGGGTTCTTGCTGCAAATAAGAATGGGCTATAATGAGCTGGCTGCGTGCGCTTTCGAAAGGGTGCCGGTGCTGGTGCTGGTGTTGTGGTCCTGGGTGCTGGTGCTGTGAGCTGGCTGAGCGCGCGTTTAAGACGGGCCGCTGGCGCCGCTGCCGGTGTTGTCAGCTGGCAGAGCGCACCGGTGCTGGTGTCAGCTGATTGTGCGCGCTGTGAAGCTGCCGTAAGCTGGCTGTGCAGGCTACGTACATTCTTGTTCCAGCCAGTCGCATGTCAACAGGTCGTGGGATTCTGCCTACTTGGTGGTTCATTTTTGGCTAGGGAACTTGTAAGTATCTTGTAAGTGGTTGGTAACTTAGTTACGAAGGGGTTACAAGTTCTGTAACTAGCACAAGTTTTTATGTTAAGATGTGGCACTTGCAAGTTAGTTAGCAAAAGTTAGAAATTTCTAAGTTCTATATCTAGATTATCAAAAACTAGTCAAAAATAAGTTATAACTAACTTAGGGAACTTAACTTTTTGAGATATACAATTTCAAGTTTTTCTAATTTACACCAAAACTGATCAAATCGTGTTTTTTTTCGCACTTTGATTCTTAAATTTGAAATCGAGTTCATGCTCCGATCGCGTGTTCATCAAGCAGCTCACGGAGCCGTATGCCGTCTTGTCATGGTCATGGCTGACTCATGATGGATGTTGCTCCTGTATAAAAAAACATGCGGCTCATTGAGCCGCAGGTTGTGTCTCTTGCAAAAAAATATATACATTGAACCGCGTGCCATCTTGAGCAGATGATGGATGTCGCTCTTGGAGCCGCAGGTCGGGTCTCACGCACTAAGCCATCTGCCTTCATCTTTCGCCATGCCTCATAGGCATCAACCACCATCTCCGCCGTGTAGGTCTCCGGCCGATTGGACAGCAGGATGGTCCCGTCCGCCAGGATGCAAAACCCGCAAGGTGGCCGCATTGCCTCCAGCTGCTCCGCATACGTCATCCTCCTAGGCTGCACAGGCTCCATCTTCAGCAGTACCGGCAGCTGAGGACGCGTCGCATGAGCAGCGCACACTTGGAGCCAGCAAACGCCAGCAAACAAAAAGCATTGTTGCACTCAATCAGCAAAGCTCTCAATCAGCAAAACTTAAATCCTGACTCCTGGATTTTTTAAAAAATCAGGGAGTCAGGGAATGTCTAAACTTATGAGGTGGTGGGGTTGGCAACTCTGAGAAATGAATTCTATTTGATAAAAGCTCATCGCATGACAAGCAAAATGCTTAAAATTCAGAAATTGAATTTATACATTTTTATACATTTTTATATATTTTTATACATTTTTATACATGTATAAATCGATTTCGTTATCAATTTATACATGTATAAATTGAAAATGGGGTGATTTATACATGTATAAATTGATATTTTTTTGAATTATACATGTATAAATTTAGGTCTGCATTGATTTATACATTTTTATACATTTTTATACATTTTTATACATTTGTGATTCCGTGATATGTGAAAACAATCGGCTAGTCAAATTTTATGTGTGTGAAAGTTGTTGGTCAGCAACCCGAATATTTAGATATATCAGGTGAAGCTATGGTAGTTCTGTTTTGAATGAATCAATGGCAAATGAATCAAGGTTTATGTTTGATGCATTGCTTTTCAAGGACTAGTACTTTTGGTACAGGACCCTTTGCATAAGGTCTAGAGTCTAGAGTATATGGTATTTTTCCACTGGGGCCGCCAGCCAACACATCTGGGCGGCCCAATGGGCCGCCAGCCAACCTAGATCTAGCCCATCAATTGACCAACACATCTGGGCGGCCCAATGGGCCGCCAGCCAACCTAGATCTAGCCGATCAATTGACCACCAGCCAACCTATATGTAACCCCTGTATATTTTTCAAAGGGTTGAGCTGAATCAAGCTGAAGAAACAATCATTGAACATCAGTTGCCATTGAAGTTCAAAGAACAAGAGCAGTTTTGGTAGACATGACCAGCCTGTGCGCAGAACATGTTCGGATGAGCGTGGCCAACATCATGGTTCTCATGCCTTGGTTTGAGAAAGATGCAGACTTCCAGCTTGAGGTGTTGAGGGAGTGTTTGCTATGGCTGCGCTTCATGTGGTCTGACACGAAGGCACGTGGATCTGCAAACGAACACTTAGTTTTTCTCACAGCTGCCTGCCCATCTCAAGACGAAAATTTAGTTTTTCTAATTTTTTGGTTCTTTAAAAAAACTTGTTTGAGACTATACTTTTGGTCGTCCAGGAACTTACAGAACTTATAAGTTAGTTACAAGTAATTTATACAACTTACGGTTATAGTTAAAAAACTAATAAAACCTAAGTTCCCTAAGTACTACTTACAAGTTGCTTAAGTCCTATAAGTGTCTTAACTAAGTTGCAAGTGCCACAAGTAAAAACGAACCACCAAGTAGCTATCTGGGCCTATGCTGGTGTAATGCATGCGTGGGTTTTTTGGCGTGCGCGAGGATGTGCTACCCTTCTTGATGGCTGCGTCCATCACCTTGGGATTCGGACTCCTGGCAGGGGTATCGGCAACTTGGCTGCAAGCGGCTGGGCGCTTGGGCATTCTGTAGGCGCTCAAGCTGCGAGGTTGGCGGGTCAGACGTGCAGGATTCAATGAGATTAATCATGTTGAATCCAAACAATTGGAGTTTCTATCCGTTTCTGTGCTGATGGTACAGACGTATGAGCTAGGACATTCCATAAACTTCCAGAAGTGTGTTTCAGCACAGCGCACCAGTCTGCGGATGCTGACTCCACTCTCCCAGCTGCAGCCATCGTCGGCCCCTTGGGCCCCTTGGGCCTCGCTCGCTCGGCACGCGGCGCGCGAGCTTGTCGACATGGCACTTGCGATGCTGGGCCGAATGATGGCCCCCACAAGCTGCCTGGCTTTGTTGGTGGATGGGATGTAGGAACCATGAGCATTCATGAAGTTCTTCTAAAAAAGGACTTGCACCAGAGGTTCGAGGAACTTGTGATTTTACTGAGTCAGACGTTCTCCCCTTTTACGATCATTCGCATTTCACAGGTTCCCCCTGTGAAGCCTCCCCTTGATCATTGCAACAAGCACCCACTACAACTTACCACACAACTTTTCACATTCCAGTGGAAACTGGCCACGAAGAGAGCATTCTGACCATCTTGTGTGTTGGTCTCTGGTGTTTTTCTGGTCGCCAAGGACCCGCACTCCTGCGAAGAGGCTGGGCTGGGAGCCTCCGTGCCTTTAGCGGTGCCTTGGTCATGGTCCATTGGTGTTTTGAAATGGTCGAAATCCGTGGAGAAAAACACTCGATTTGGGGAAGACGGTTGTCTCAAGCCCACTTTAACCGAGAAGTTGAAGTTTGAGATTCCAGTGATTCGCATGATGGGTCCAAGGAAGTTTGTCTCACAACTACGGTGAGTTTAAAATTGAGCGTATCATTGCGCTATTAATATAGTGTCATGAGATGCCACCAGTTACCATTGGCATTTCCGGTGTATCTCCTCATGCTTTTCCACCCTTGTGCGCCATCGCTGGTGCTGTTTTTATCGATTCGGTGGACGGCACTGTTTTCGTTCGGACGTCGGAAAACGCGAGTCTCGGCGTTTCCTCAGCCCAGATTCGAAAGAGATGAAGATCCCTCAGTATTTGAACTCCTGGGTGGAGCCTGAGGCTGGACACTTGTTTTTGACAATCTTTCATCCATGCGCTGAAAACGGAGGCTTTCAGAAGTGTGCCCGGTCTCTCTCTCTTCTCAAAAATCATACAGGTCCAGAGTCCAGAGCTACGCTTTTTTTTGTCTGGTCCAACATGGTCCAACCATGTAACCATATAAAAGCAACTATCACGGATTCACCGTCAGCTTTTCTGGTCACCTTCGTTTGGGTTGTTCTCAGATCCTTGCAGGCGCTGTGGGAATTCAATGACCACATGGAGCGTACCAACGCTGCAAAGCTGGTCGATGCCGAGGTTGGGCTCATCTTCGTGTTTGATGTTTGGGGGAGGGGTGAGTCAAAGAAAGGTTGGCCCTTAAAATGAAACCAAGGCGGGAGTGTTTTTTCTTTTCTTTTTTTTCGTTTTTCACCGTGCCATTTTTGGTGCTCTAGATTGTGCTCGCTGTTACAGCATGTTACAGCCAATAGGCAAGACACAGGGATGGCCCAGCCGAAGCCCATTCTAGCGGCTCGAGCGGCTCGGTGGCTGGATTGGTAGGTCGGAGAGCTTGGTGATCGCAACAAAGCCTGGCAGAAAGAAACCTTGAAAGCGGACCCTGAGATCCTTGGCTTTGACATGCTTGGAGTCTAAACATCGTGTTTCGCACCATGAAACTGCAGGGTTCCCAGGGTCAGCTCATCCACGGCAACTTGTGGCGCCCCAACTCAAGAACCTCTTTCGAGCACACAAAGACACCATGCAGGTGGGTCTTCAATGATTCAGACTGCCCAATCATTCCTTACCCTTGCACACTGGAGCATGATGGTCATTAATGATCAGATGGCATCAGGGCAGCCAACCGTTTGAGCTGGGTGTGCGGTGAAGATTTTGTGTGCTTCCGAGGTTCTTCAAACGCATCGGCCAGGCACAGTTCAGTTAAGCTGCATGTTCATTTTGTGGTCTGTGGTACCGCTGTGGTACTGGTGGGCAGTGCTGTTTGCCTGTCACAATGTATCCAATGATTCAGTTCATGAGGGGGAGATGACCAGTGAACGATGAAGCTTTGGAACGGCATACATGCTTGTTGCATACGATCACAGTTTTTCCTGTCACCACGTGCTTGCTGCTCGTTAGGGGCAAGCACCAAAGTACCTTTGGATCGGGTGTGCCTTGGCGAGGAATCCAGAAAATCCGTGCGGCACCGGCCTTTTCGCAGTCACTGTGTGACTCTGCGTGAGGTGCAGACAGCCGCGTGGCCGCCGAAAACTTGATTGGTGGAAAGCCCGGAGAGCTGTTTACGCACCGCAACCTGGACGACATTCAGCCCAGACTACCGCCTCTATTGTACAATCTTACAATATTGTATATATGTATATAATATATCATCCGTGTTCTGTATCTAACAAACATGGAAGTGGATGGCATTGGTCCTGGAAGCTGCCCCTTGCAAACAAGCTATTTATTTGTTGCGTTGTTGCCTGCTAGACGCCAGAAAGAGATCAAGAGTTTCCATGAGTTTTTCTTCTGCGCTTGAGTGGGGTGCTTGACACCTAGGTCCTAGGTTGAAACATGGTAGGCGCATGCGGGAGCTGTGATGGCTGAGACACAGTGGATATAGACTTAAAAGGTTCGACTTTCTCAGTATGCTGCATGCTTTTCGCTTCCGTCGGCAAGGTATAGGTAGCCGAGTAGCTACTGACATGTCAGAGTAGCTCACCCACTAGCTCAGTAATTAGGTGGCTGGTTGCGGGCCACTGCCCAGTGTGTGCAGGTAACATCGCCAATATGGTGGTGGCAACGGATACCAATTTTCGCTCTGTGCTACAGTATGCAGTGGATGTGCTGCAAGTGCGTCACATCATCGTTCCTTGGTCCATTGGTCTTTTGACCTGTTTTGACCGAAAGTCCAGCCGAAGAAGGTGAGGTCGTTTGGCCGCCAGTTCGGGGGCTTGTGGGCGATTTCGGGCTTAGCTGTTTGAGTCTCAATTGAGCCATCTTAGGTTTGTGGCCATTACGATTGTCTTGCTCTCAGTGCATCTCATTGACCTTCGGAATCCTTCAGCTTGGAACCATGTTCCAAGCCAACTGGGAGATACAAAGTTTTTTTGATGATGATTTTTCCTGCACCGGCTATGTAGACGTTTGGATCACCTCAAGATTGCATGACTTTCATTGGAATTGGGCGACGGTTTAGTTTGGCCCAATCCTTCCCACGCAATCGAAGCTGCTCCATGGGTCTTAAATCTCACCAACGCCCCAGGTGGTGGCATCAAAGCGGCTTGCTCTGTGAAAGATCATGCGCTGCCTCTCGAGAGTTGGCTCTCAGGGATCCTTGGGAAAACCTTCATCAGGCTTTGAAGAAACACCCTAGTTGCGTAGCCCGTCACATTGAATAACTGCTTGGATTCTAACATCCATGTAGAGTGCTCGCAGAGCTGGGCTTCTTGAAATCGACTTCTAGGCCAGTACCTTGAATGATTGGCTCAATCATCTTCAGTCACTTCAAAAGCTTCAGCTGCCAAGCAAGGGACGAACCCCCCAGGATTCGGGACGTCTACCGGCTCCACAGAGAAGAGCTGGATGCGATTGACTGCAACTTGGCGCGGGAACTGACGGCCAAACCGGCCATGAACAGCTATAGTACCAACAAGGGACTTTTTCAAAAACCAACTGCCAAACCTAAACCGGAATCATGCCCGTCGGTGAAACACCGAGGCCCTGATGAGCGCCACAAGCGCATGGTGGAGTTGAACGTCATCGAGCAGTGCCTGAATCTCTTCAAAACCAGCACCGCGCCTCAAGGGATTGGTGATTTTGCTCGACGAGTGTATTTATTTGTTGGCGAGGTACAAGATTATATTAGCTTTATAAACGGATATGATATGTACAGTACAATTAATTATGTATATATAGTTATATTACTTACCTTTTAAATGCAAACCTACAAATTGGTAGGTGCAGACATACACACCTTATATTCCCTAATTATGACCAGTATGACCAACACTGAAAGGGTTCCCTGATGCCGGTCTCTTGAGATCAACCTATTTTCTTTTCACGAAGTCTTGAGGGCTATTGGAGCCCATTCCAAGAGCCAACCGGTCCACTTTGCTTGTGTGGCACGGGCATCGACTTGGCGAAAACCGGTCGATCACCTCGGCGAGAACGACCCAGGTGACATCCAAAGCCGCCGGCGATACACCGCCTCGCGGCCCGAGGAGTTTGGCTGCGCCTCGGCAGGGCGGGCGCAGGGCGAAGCCGGGTGGGATGATGGATGGATATGGATGGATATGGATGTGGGAAAGTCGGGTGGTTAGAACTTTCTGAAGAAATTAGTTGGTCTGCCGGTTTCTATGTTTTGTTTTTGGGAGTGCAGTTGGAATGTTGGAGACTGTGTGAGAATGTTCAATTTTTGTTGAGCAAGCACTACTTGGGAGATTTGAGGGCATGAGTTCGACCCTATGTTGGATATCCTGTGATGTGGTCGATGGAGTCACGGTTACACTTGACAGTTAGTTCGATCTAGCTTAGTGATCTTTCGTGCAGCAGGTCATCAAAGCACGCATTATTTTCTTTTTGCACACTAACTTAATTGTTTAATGAGAGTTTTAGCGGGGAATCACGTGAACTTTTCGCAAGACCCGAAATTGTTTGGGCCACATGAGAAGAGCCCGTCCTGGCCGAGGCGCCCTGCCGCGAGTCCATGCTATGGTCTTCTCCCCAGCCGATGGCATCCTGCGGAGGCTGACGTTTGGAGCCAAATGAGTGGCACAGTCGGGGCGAGGGCGATGGGGAGAAGGAGATGGCAGATGTGGGACATCCAATTCAAACGTGTCCACAGTCATAGGCATGCAGTAGCAAAATCGGATCTGATCAAATCTGTATATATGTAGTATATATGCATTGATTATTGTCCATATTGATCAGTATTGTTTTTGTGTATTGTCTCTGTTAATCGTGGCCTGTTTGTGGGATGGTTTCTTGGATAAGGATACAAAGGGCTGGGGGTTGAAAAAGTGTTGCCTCTGCATTCTCGTCTTGTTGCAACCTCTTGCACATGCCCGTAGGGCAGCAAGGCGGCAACCTCTAGTCTTGGGCAACTTTCTTTGGCCAGGCTTATGGCAATCGAGCTTGTGGTACATCCATTAATCACATATGACATTAGTATCTACTGTACTTGTATTTATTGATATACCCCGATGCAAAATTCTCATCATGACTCCAGACAACTTCAGAGTATCTTTCAGACCGCATATATAATTTTGTCCCAGGGTTTATGACGGATAATCTTTGGCAAGTGTCCTGCCTTGGCATGCGGCCGCAGTAGAGGCATGTTCGACTCTGAAACGGATTATATGAGCGGTAGTATGAGCGGTATGAGCGCGAGATGTCAGAAGTGACTTCCTAAATGTCATTGCAGGATCCGAAAGCGACTTAGGAATGTGGACTACAAGAAGCACTTGGGTGACTCCATTGACGTGTACCACTTGCAGCTGGGACAGTTACTGTAAGTTGATGGCCACATTCATGGCCGGCTTGGCTGTAACCCTGTTGAAGATACGGCACATGGAGGAGCCACAGCTTGCCATCACACGTGGTCGGAGAGACCGGCCTCGGTGACCCTCCCCTGAGAGACTGAGGTACGACGACCCCTTGCTGGACAATACGGATTTGGATGAAGTGATTTAAACTCGTCATGCAGCTATTTCAAACCTGCATGACTACCTCGACGCGGGCTGAGTACATCTCACTGACTGAAGCTTATGTGATGTCGAAAACGGCACACTCGGAAAATTCTACTGGGTTCAGGCCCAAAAGTATCCGACGATGACCTTTTTGCAAACGTAACCAGTGGCATGTTTTTTTTGAAGACCCTGCATGTCCATCCCGGATGCTTGTCATCAGTCATTGGATGATTTTCCTCCTGCACTGCAGCCAAGACGATGACAATGTTCAACCTTTAATTGATTGGCTTGGCTGTCTCCATGATACAGAGCAGCGGTTAAAAAGGGCTTGGTCTGCGGAAGGTGCACAGTATTTGACTTCCTTTGGAAGCCATTGCGCGATGCATCAAACCAACCGCAAATCCAACACATAGCCTCGGACGTGACAACGTGCAGCCCCAAAAAGCCATCCATGAATCTAAACTCCTCGTCAACTCCTTCTCTTGAGTTGGGACAACTGACAAGTGTCCGAGACCTTGCATTCTGGCGTTCACGTTGCAACTCAAAGAAATGCCGCAAGGACCGTATTGTAACATTTTCCATTTGCATTTTTGGGTGCACACTGGTGACAGAGTTGTTTTTTCCTGGGCTAGACTGACACAGACACATCTCAGGTGGTTTTGCTGATCAATTTCCTCGTGCATGCCTCAGAGTTCTCTGTGTGGAGCCATGGCCCCAAAATCATGCATTACTCTCCAAATCTAGTGGTGTCCTTATGCTACATCACCTTATTATTTTAAAGTATTTGGATTTTTCTAATCAAAATCATAAGGTCGAATCAGGAAAAATCAAGGTGGGATTGTCAGGCCTTTCACGTTGGCATTACTTCGACCATCCTTGATTACGAAGAAGCCAACGGCCTGACTTGGGTAGACCCTGAGCACCCTCACTGACTCGGGTGCCACAGGAAGAGACAGATGGCCCCCTTCTTGCATCTCGGGCCCCCTTGCTCTTGGCCTGGCGGTTGACCGTGTACTAGCGAATCATTCTCTGAGTTCAACCGCCAGGAAGGTCTCACGAGAAGGAAATCTGGTCCACCATTAAATCAGCTTATGAATTGTCATGTTAAAGTTAGTTATTTTATGGTAAGCCTTTCAATTTTAGTAGAGAAACCCATCGTACAAATGAAAGGCTTTATGATGCTGCTGCTGTCCTCTATGAAGTGAACCTTTAGCAGTCATTCGTTCGTTCACTTAGGACCTTTTCCTCGCTTACAGCCGCCGTGTCTGACTGGGCCCCTTCTTGGTCCTAGTCAAACACAAAAGGACACCAACTAGAAAATGTTGAAGTTAAAAACAACACGCGCAATTTCAACATGTTCTAGTAGAAGAGTTAAATCTTTTCTAGTAGAACTAGTGGGGTGGGATCTATATACCTTAAAAATCTATGTAAACCCTAAAGCCTAAACTACCCAACTCATGTGCACACATTTGGGTTTTGCTCATCAGTGAGTGCTTCATGGAGGCATTTCACATCGCCAGTTTCCGCACATCTCCAGTGCGACCGACCAAAGAGAATCCTATGGATCAAGGATGTACATAGTTCTTTTTTGCTTGAAACACCTTCCAAAGAGGCGCCCTGGGCCTTCCAAACGCATGTTCCAAGTGGGTGGGCCACCTGTACATCATGCATTTGCCGCATGGGGGATATCATGTTGAATCAGGGGCTGCTGCTCTGTGACCGCAACTGAGCCTACGAGTGGCCAGCATAGACCGATGCCGAGGTGATCCCATGGCTACGCACCGATATTCAGAGGAACGGGATCATGATCACTTCCTCTTACAGGCGGGGCGGCAGAATCCGCAACAGTCAAGCATGTGTCCAATGGTGCCCAGCCTGCTCAAGGAACCAAATTTGCTTTGCAAAAAATACGATTGTGCGCATTCTTCTGCGGTTGGACAGAGGTCTGAGGTAGTACCGGTAGTACCCTACACAGCAGGCAAATTCAACAAAGACATCAATTATCATCCTGTATAGTGGTGGCACAATTCCTCATTCAACTTGCAGGCAGTCAATATATTCGATGTTGGAAGCTCTGCCTATAGGCTTCCCCACTACACTAGCTTTGCTTAATACATCGGCCTGCAATGAGTTTGGAAGGCGACCTAGAGCAGCAAATGTTTACCCACCTACAAGGTCATGATTCTGGGGACATTCACATAGGCAGGTTTGTTTCTCCCTACTATGTGGTGTTCGAAGCAGAGGCCGCCTCTGGCGAAGATCTGGTTGATGGCAGGATCTTCCCATCAGCAGTGCCCAAGCCAGACAGGAAATCTGTTGAATCATGTTTTCCTCCCAAGGTCTCCAGTGGTGTTTTGAGCAGTTCGACTCGGGTTCACCTCCGAGCAGCCTCCCATGAACTCTTGGACAGCCGGGGCCAGGTTAGACTCCAAGGACAGCTGTTCTTGGGTTCTCAGTGCCTCCATGGTGCATTGGCCCTTGAGAGGCGCCGGGGCGCTCGGCACTGGCCACGGCTCCAGGTTGCATGCGCTGGTTGTATACCTCGTTAACGAAGTTAATGAGGAATTGCAGTTGGGGATGGATTGGGTGTGAAGGCGGTTCAATTATTTGGCTTTGGTTGTTCAGCAAGATTAGACCGTTGTGCTCTTCAACGATTCAGGTGCTTGATCAGCAGCTGCTAAGCAGGTGTCCTGATTTGTCACATGTTTTCGACAAGCGTTTCCTTTCCTTGATTCAGCTTAGCTGGAAAGTAACAAGTGCAGTAGCAACACGGCAAATCTCAGACCGCTGAGGTTTTGCTTCGCTGGGGGGCCGCGTCCCAATGCCATGCAGTTCCACGGCTGAAGGAGTTTCCCCGACAGGGGGTTGGTTTCGGGAAGAGGGAAGTTGTATGGGTATAGGGGATCTTTCTTTTGGAGTATTTGCACATACGGTAATACATCTAAGTCCTTGGGGCAGGCTTTTTCATGTTCTTGTGCATATTTCTTGCAGACTGCTGGTGACCAACGAGTTTCCTCAGGTTCCACAGCATGAGCTTCACTGCCAGAAGCTCTCAGATAGACGCGTGCCTGCGGCCATTGGGTGGACATGCGTCTTGCATCCATCATTTTCGGAGCCTGTCTTTCCAGTCATTCGTAGGTCAATGAAATGCCTGGAGTGTAGCGTTTTTGGCAAAACTAGCGGTGCTGCCTGCCACAACACCAAATCATAGTATGCGTTTGTTTGTAGAAGAATCTGATCCTCCAATAAACCAGCGGGTTTGAGGCCAGGATGTGGCCAGACGGCAAGCCAGTGGAGGCTGGGTCTCGGCCTCTTCAGATCGACTTTCGACTTTCGACGCTTCAATGCATTGCTGCGGGGTTTTAGTGGAATTTGCTTCATCTACAGGTCCGCAAGAGCTGTCCAACAAGACAACGCCAAGACACGTTTCGCCTCCCTCGGAGCTTGATATCGCTTGAGGAAAGACCAGATGAAGCATGAATTCTAGTTGTTCGGAATCCGTGAGCCTTGATGCTTCCATTGAGCATGATGGCACAAGCTCACCGACGAATTGCTTTCAGTAGCTGGGAACCCTTCCTTTCGGCAAATGATGGGACAAGAGCTGGGCAGGGCTGTATGGGCATGGTCCGCACCAAGCGCATCGAAATCAACAAGTTGCCGGCCTATCCGGACCTGGGGGCCTGGGGGCGATTTTTGTGTGTCTTTGCTTGGTGTGTGTGTGTGTGCGCTTTTTTCCTTTTTGGTTGATCAGTTCAAGAGGACTAGAAGGTTCAGGGAGAGCACTGGCGGATTTGCAAGTCTTGAGTCTTGAACAGAGAATTCTTAGAGAAACCGAAGTGAAAGCAGATGACGTGATGATGGGTCCAGGAGCCACTTGTGGAATCAATAGGAAAGACATTGCTTATCGCTTGATGTTTGGTTTGATGCGATTGAATCACATCAGACGAGCCACTCAGCTCGAAGGATCTGCCAGATCAAACATGCTTCCTTTTCTTGGTGGATGGGCTGGAGGACGCGGCTACCATGCGGGGGCCCTGTGGTCACTTTCATAACACCGGTATCATGCTTTTCGCTCTCCTCATCTCTCCCATTTTAGTCATTGTCTCTCCCTCTCTCCTTCCCTTTCTTCGGTTTGACATTGCTTTGCTCAGGCGTTCCTTCAGATTTCCGGATCCCTTCAATGCGGAGCTCGCAGCGCTGGGCGTGGTCTCCCATGTCACATGTGCCTGCAGCATCACACAATTCCTCACAAGAGATCATAGAGTCATAGAGATGGCTTGCAATAAATACAGGATAGAAGCCCTTGTGTATAACATAACATATACATTAATTACATACAGTATATACATGGATTTGAATTTGTGACGGTCCTTTTGAGATCGCTGTATGTTTAGGTGGTGATGTAATTGAGTGATGGAATTATGAGCATCAGCAACAGCAACATCGAACACCAACGACACCCACAGCAAAAGGACAAGACACGACATGACAAACTGCGACAACCACTGATTGCAACCACAACGGAAGCCGCAAAGAACAACAGAGGTGAGAGAGGGAGAGAAAGAGGATGAAAGAGGAGGAGGAACAGGACGAAGAAGATTACACGCTGACTCACTAACATCGAGGTGGACTCCCTACTGTTCAAAGAGGAAAGTGGTCTTCCAACCATCTACTTCCACGTAACAGCGACATCACAGCGGTTGACGAGACGAGAAACGTGTTGCGCTCGAATGAGCAGATCGTTCTTTCCACGCTTTCTGTCCCATGGCCGGGACCGGGACCGTAGCCCTGCACATGGAGATTTCTCATGGATTTGGCATTTGTACGAACCTTCGAAGGATGGAATGCCGCTAGCAGGTGCATGAGCTGACATGATATTTATAGTCTTAATTATGTCATAGTGTTTTGTGAGTGCGTACGTGCCTCAAGTTGTCAAGAATATATATCTCGAGATCGTTTTGGTGTCTTCTTTGTCGTGGGTGCAGTTGGTCGACCCAGGCATGCTGCAGACTGATCAGGACCCGAGCCGATTGTCACTGGCCCAATGTGGGGTTTCGGGGGACTTCGATGGGTGTGAGTTTGGGCACAAAATCATGCTCCAATCAAACCGATGGCGGAAGTTACGGCTGCAAGTTGATGTCCAATGTGTCGTCTTCGTTCTTCCCCGGTGAACTTCTTTTTCATCCACCGGGGCGGCACGATGTGACACGGTGAGACAATGTCCTTTGAGCGGCTCGTGTCGAGGAACAAGCGCCCTTGAAAAGCGGACGACCCTACCAGTTCCAGGCAGGGCCAGTGGAAGGAAAAGGGACACAAACCATTAGACTATGTGTGAAGACAACACAAGGAGGTCCAATGAAAGCTGAAAAGAGTCTTAAAGAAAAGAGAAACGGGACACTTTTCAAAATAACATTGAAGAAACAGGGAACACAAAAAAACACCGTAAATATAAAGAAAAACAACAAGAGTAAGAGAAACCGCAAAAGACACTGCTTGAAGAGAAACAAGTAAAGAAGAACAGAAAACAGGTCAATAGAAGAACCTTCAATAAGAATCATGAAGGACAGAAAAGAGGCCCAAAGAAAAAGCACTGCCTAAAGAAAGATCAATATTATTCAATAAACAACATGTCTAGAGAACAAACGTATAGAGGAACCAAGAACAAAAGGTATCAAGAACAAGGTCTTTACATATTTATATGATGTTAAAAGGAAGGACAAAGCAGAAAGAAAAGCAAGCGCCCTTTAAGAGCTGTGCCAGTTCCAGGCAAATCCAGTACAGCGGAGGCTTTTCTTCCCCCGTTGGCAGGTCACCGCCTATGGCGCCAAGGGCGAGGTCTTGGGAGTTGAATGCTCAGTGGAAAGGAGACCAGCAGAGCACCGGGGAGCGCAGTGATGACCTTTGATTTCGCAACACACGAAACACCAGCAGAACATGATGATAAGCATCTCCAAAACTTACCTTGACTAGGCCTCCGCTTGGTCTATGCCCACCAGCATCGAGCGAAAACGGACTGCGCAGGGCTTGTGAAAGTGAACTTGCTGCCTGGTTTTGGCCTACGCCCTGTCACTACACTAGCTAGTTGAACTGGAAGCTAATTTGCAGAAGAACTTGTACATTGATAATTTTGAGAATGTTCCTGCGTGAGAAGGTTCCATCTTCTGCAAGGCTTATTTGTTGCTGACGGTTTGTCTAGCAGTCCCGTGGTTTTTGTGGTTTTTGTCGGTTGGGTCATCATTGTACATATGATGCTGCGTCATGCCCAGTGCTGTCTAGTGTGGGTGGGGTGGGGCCAAGTGGTGAGGTTTGTTGTGCTTCGCCTGAAAGTTAGCGATTCCCAGTTTGGGTTTCAGGGTCCCAAAACAAACAACAACATCTAATTCTTGTAGAAACGGGACCGAGTTGGTAGAATAACGCGCACTTTAAATGTGTTTGTTCGACGGCACAACGCAAAACCCCGGAGAAAAGCTGCAAAATTCAAAGCAGGCCTGATATAATTGAAAAGGCGCAAGTCCTGCCGGACCTCTGCGTGGACCATGACCTGATTTAGAGCGTTTCACTTGGTCTTTTGGCAACATTTGATGCTATGACGAACATGCAGTCCTCGTCCCTCGCCCATGGCACCCATTCAGCACAGGAGATTTACGGAATTGCCCTTACTGCTTTGGCGAGGCTTTTGAGATTGATTTTGCGGCCTTTAAGAGATCAATCTTAAGCTGATTCTTCTTTCAGGAAGGTGCAACCGGCCAGAAAGAGCAACAGGCAAATATTGAAGAAGACTGCTTTTCTGACAGTCTGCTCAATGCAATATATTATATTATATAACATATAATAGCAAAAATGGTTATGATATTGAACAATTAGAACCCAGACGTGAAGCCGATTTGGAGGCTTGTGTGGCATTCTGCCGTTGGGGCCCCGGCCAAGCAGGGCGTGGCGGTCTCTGGGGGCCCCCGAAGCCAATAACATTTGTTGCTTGTTTCTTTCCTACTTGTATGGTTGGGATTCTTCTTCTGGGGCTGTGCATGGCTGGGGAGTGATATGGATCCTCAAGAATGACATTGGAGCTGGACAGCTTCTTAGTGTTTCCCTTTCGATGCCGGTGCATCTCGTGCAGAAAAGGCCCAGCACTTTCAAGTACTTTTTGAAGGAGCACTGCGTCGTCCTTTCCAAGGCTGGCTGAGTTCGAATCCGAGTTCATCGGAGTAGAGAGAGTCACCAGAGGCTGAGATTCTTTGAGAGTCAGAGAAGTCTGATCCTCCAGGAGCCAAGCATGGTTATCAAGCCATGCACCCAGCATTGCCAAGTCATGCATTTCACTTGTGTTTGTTTTGGAAGAGAGTTCTCGTCACTCCTTTCGCACCTGTGATTTCGCAGACCATTCCTGCACAGTCCTCTCATCAGCCAAGGTTCAAGAGGATTTGCTTGCACAAGCCTCAGAGGTGTGTCCTAAATTGGCAATGGAACAAATTGTGCGGATCTCATGGGGGTCAGAGTGTGTGGCGGCCATTGTCGCACTAATTGCAAGTGGAAGGTGCGCAGGACATGGAGTAAGAATCCATAGTAGCCATAGTATAGATCCAAAAAGGTCTGGTGAACGAGTTAGTTGTCATTGGACAACGTGCTTTTGTGCTTTGATGAGCTTCGCCATTAGCCACCATGCCGCCATGCCCCATGTACATTGTAGATGCATTTGAATGCACACAAGGCACAGTTCTTTTTAAAATCAAGCCTCAGGTCAGTCTGGTCGAAAGCTCCAGAGTTCAGTGGCATTGGGAAGAACGGTGAGAGCCTGAACCAGCAGGCGAGCAAAGTGAGACTCCACTATTCCGTGTGGCCCGAGCCTGCCGGGCAGTCGAAACGACGGACCGAGATGGGTGACAGAGGGCTAAACACCCATTGAGCGCACAGAGGGCTAGAGACCACCGAGACTAAGTCCATCTCGGAGTCTCTTGAGTTGCATGAATACAATACACATATGTAAATGTATATATGCATACTATATAATACCATATATCTATAACTATAGGCGTTGTCAGGAAATTGCACTGCATGATGTTGCAGCATTGGGGACGGGGATCTATACTCATTAGCTTCGAGGGCCAGCCCATTCCAAGCATGCAGCCTCCTGCTTTGTGTGACAATGTTCTAGCACGGTTTGCTTGTCCCTCAGCGCTGGCAGGTGCAAGTCTACTTCTCGTCCTGTAGCGAGATGAAGGTGCAGACCTGTTGGCTACCAGAGTATGCGGGTTGCTTTCCTTGATTTTACAAGATTGTTTCCCAATGTTTCCCAGATGTTCATGACGTCATCCATGTCATGAAAGCTGCCCCTCCGACTGGGAAAACACCGTACCGTTTTTGTATATGCCCACCAATGAGCACACCCCAAAAAAACTGACGTAGGTAACACACACACACACACACATGCAGCTTCGACTTACTTTTGGTTCCAGCCGCACTTACCAGTGGGGAAGGATTTGCTGTCCATAAGATAGTCCCTTTGCAGTTGTGTTTGCCATGAACACTCCCCAAACATCTATCTTGCCAAGAAGGGCCTTCTCGGGGTAGTATCTGCGCTGAAAAAATATGCGTATGCAGTATATGTCTTTTGGCCTGGCCATGCCTGGCCCACCAAAAAATATCAAAAGCGGGCACATGCGCTTCCCAATCCACGGAACAGGTGCTGCCTTGGGAGTCTGAAAAACACTTGGGCGCATTCGCAAAAAAAACGGTACCTTCCAGATCTTCTAGGAAACAGAGTTTTGTTGTTTTTGACTAGCTGACTTTGAATGAGACGCGGGCCCCCCTGGTGCAGGTGACTGAGCCGGCGAAGCTGGACCGGAGCCGAAGGCGAGAGAAGCCCATGAGTCAGGCCTGAGAGAAGCATCGGACGTCAGAATATCCTCCTTCACGAGATGGACATGGATTGAAGAGATCACAAAGGTGTGTGTGTTTTCTTATATTCAATTTCGCAAGAGTGTTTTCACTGCCTGGCCTTTCCCAAGATTGAGAGCCAAAACACGAGAAGACTTGGACAGGGAAGAGAGATAGTTAGCAAAGCTGAAGCTCTCGGACGCTGATAATCTCCCACGATGGTAGCCTTGGTCCTCCCCTCTGAGCAGGTCTTTCCCAACTCTGATCGGGTGAACGCTGAAGACAACATGCAGCTGGCTCAGCCCTTGTTGCTTCGGTGGAGCAGGCAAACTTTGGGGCTAGGAGCTGCAACTGCGAGGAAGAAGACATGAGCTTTTGAATGTTCTATTCAACTTGGAGTCATACACGTGCTGATTTGGAAGGTCTACTGAGTCTACTGTCCTTTCGACTCCGAGGATTGTGGTGTTGGACGCCTTCGCACAGGACATCACTTTAAATGTTGGCCACTTGTGTGCAGAGAGGACAAGAGAGGACAGGCGGCTCATCTAGGGAGCCCTGCTGCACACCAATCATCTCGCAAAGGGTGCAGTCATTGTTGGCAGGCATTCAGCATTCGGGCATTCCGGGCTCAAGTTTGTTGTTTGGGGCAGGTAACAACGGAAGGAGGCTCAGGGGGGCACAATAGGGCTCAGGTAGGCTACAACAGAGAGTTGGCTCAAACGAATGGCAGGGACTATGGGGATATATAATAGATAATAGCAAACACCTCGATTCAGCCGCCCTAGCAATGTTTTTTAGACAGGTGGTTGGGAAGAGTTCCCAAGAAGAAGCACGGCCACTGTACCCTTTTTGCCTGCGGTTACTGTTTCTCTTAGAGGGCAAAATGCATATACATTTTGCTCTGGGTATCCTCTCATTGTGTTTTGTTGGCGTTGGCTGACTTTTGCGGCGATTCTTTCAGCTTTGATCAACACGCTCCGAAGAGTCTCGTGCTTCGCTTGCCTCGCTTGCTTCGCTATGATCCGAGGCAATGATCTGAGCCAAAAGCTGACAATCGAGGTTTCTTTGACCTCCCAGGAGCGGGGGTCGATGTCCCCGAGCATCTTCAAGCCTGGCCCTGGTCCTATGGCCTTCGCATGACTTCAAGGGACATGATCTCAGATGATCAATGGCTTCCTTCAGAGATCTCAGTCTCAAGCTTGCTCAGCACTGGGCTGAGCGGATGAGGTGTATGGCCAGCGTGCCCCAGATCCAAATGAAGATGCTGTCAATTTACAAACTTTGCTTGCATCGCGCATCGCTTACCATAGACTGTGCTAACATTTTGACTTGTTTGTGTGGGTGCCGGAGAAGCACCAAAGGAGGCAGCCAAAGCATATCAGAGGTCAATCTGCATGGCACTGTGAACAAGAGTATTTGCATTGGAACTTTCATCAGATAATTCTTTACATCCTCAAACAGCTCCTGCGGCCATGGCCTCGAGACCCAGTGGACTGACCCCAGCCTGGCAGGCCTGGCGGGTGTTTCTGAAGGCCCCGAGCTGAAAGAACCTCCCGAAAAATGGATCCTCCATAGCAACTACGCCATAGCCACTATAGGTACCACTCACCAGGTCGATTTGTCTCTTCCAGGCTTTGCGCTCACTCCAACCGCTGCAACTACTGTTCTTAGCTTTGGTGGTTTGGCCGTGACTGAGCTGAGCAATGGATGCTTTTGAGGCTTCGTGAGAATGGCCTTTATGCGATGAGTGTTCTTTCTCCAAGTCACTCGGGTCCCTACAGAAAGTTGCACTGAGTTGACTCAAGGACAGCTTTTTGGGGCACCTCTGCCTATCGCGACTGGGTTGGAGTTGGCACAAGTTCACAGGCATCACCGTCGATATAATACAAGTGGTTTGAACTAAGTAATTGTACTGTACAATATTGACAATAATGTTATTCAATCTGCATCAATTCACCAATATTTATGCACAGTTGCAACGTATTTGTAGAGAGTGGTTCCACGACAGCCTCAGTCTCTCCACCTGGATCTGTCCTACGCGGTTTGTGAAGCATCTTCCAAGACACAGGCAGCACAGAAGAGCGCCACATGTTCTACTATTGTAAAAGGCCTGCCCCACTGAGTTGTCATAGTCGACCAGCCATCCCACCCAGGCCATGCTACTAAAGGTTTAGGGCGAAGGCAGCGCCACAGCATACGAGCTGGCCGCGGCAGAGAATGGACTGCGACCTGGCTGGTCAATTGAGGTTCATCTTGATTTTGGACAGCAGTGGGCATGTTTGTCTAGGTCGACCCTTCAAATAGACTGCAGCCTTCCAAGGTACGCTTGCTGCGGCCGGGCGAGGATTGACAAATTCGGGCATGGAATGGTCCCCTCCGAACACAAAAGATGGAGGCAAGAAAAGGCATTTGAACTCAGACATATGTAGATATACATATATATGCGAATTCACACATGTGATGCAGGTGGCAGACCACAAACATGTGGAACAAATTGAGGAAGCAATCAAGAAATCAAGAAATGAAAGAAGCCGAAGCCGAAGGAGCCTTCTGACACCACCATGGTTGTCAAAAGGATTTCACTGTCCGAAGGTCACAAAGCAACCCCAAAGCCAATCCTTATTGATACAACTTTTCTTCATATATTTTTCGATTCCGTCCAACTCCTTTCAGGAAGACCTTGAGGAGGTCTACAAGCTGCGAGAAGCGAATGGCGACTGGGCATGCATTCTTTCACATTTGGGGATTCCCTGCCTCCCTGCCCGGTCCTTCCCTGCCTCCCACACCTTGCTTGCCTCCCTTTGTTCGTTTGCTTGGCTGGCCTGCTCTCCATGCATCTAATGATCATTTCCATTCATGCTGGGTAGTTCTGTGAATTCCCCCTTCACCCGGTGTCCGCCACCTTCGCCAGCAGCTAGCATAATTGCGGTGGACGGGGAACACATTGCCATCCCTTGATTTCACGCTTTTAAAACACTCCATCAGCTGGATTGCATGGTTTGCAGCTGGATTGTTTGGTAACGTTAGCTGGTACGTTTGCCTGGGTTTCTTTGGCACACGCTCTCAAACAAGTTGCGCTGGATTCAGAATAAATTGCTTCAGGATCATAAAAGGCCTTCGTGGCACCACATGGCTAGTTTGTTTTCCCATAGCATGCGCTGTTAGTCAATGAATAATGGCCGAACGATGCCAAGTGAGTTGGCTCGGAGATAGCTGAGGTGACTCAAACGCAACAAAACAAAGTAAAACTCAAGGTGAGCAGAGGTGAGGGGACTTTCTCACTTAGTTTTGCAGCAGCTGGCAGTTGTTGCATGACACGTGTTGAAGGATTCGAAGCGACAGGATCTTGCGGCCACTTCCACAGCAAACTGTCGCCGCATCAGCGCCGAGGTGACCTGCAAGAGCCGGCTGCCTTGCAACGTTTGCGGCTTGGATTTGTACTGATCTGTGGTGGTCATAAGTTGGCTGGCATGAACAGCCGTTGGGGTTTAAGCTATCCCCTTGGCAGCAAAAAGACTTGCTCACATTGGCTTGCTCAGGTTTGGCCAGGGCTATGCCTCGTATGTTCTGGCTTCTGTTGAGGAGGCAAGCTTTGCACTGCATCATTCTGCATCTCACTGCACTTCACCCTGCTTCATTGTGGCTCTTTCAGGACATCGTTGCTTGTGCGCAGCTAGGTCGCTTAGCTGTTGGTGGCTACTTCGTGCTGCGGTGTGACTTCGCCACTTTGCGCAATGCTGCACTCGGAATTGAGATAAGGTGCACTCAGGCTTTTGAGGCAGTTTGAGGCCGTGGGGTTGCGGCCAACACTGAGTTGACAATGCAAATCAACCACACGCTCAGCTGAGGTGATCAACACGGTCCTGGCATCTTGGCGAAAGCATGCGAAAGGTCAAGTGACACAGACGCAATAAACCATAATCACTTCCTCGACTCACCCCGTTTAAACTTTTGGAAGTTCTGTCATTTACACAGAGATAAAGAAATACAGACAGATAGATAGATTCACATATAGACATACACATGTCACACACACACATGTGTATATATATATATACAATTAAACACATCTGGTCTAATTTAACAATGTGACAATGCTCACCCCACCAAAGACCAAAACTGACCAAAACATTGGCCAAAGGATGGGAGGTACATCTCACAGAGACCGAGGTCAAACCTGAGTTCCGCCGGCAAGGTTTGGGTCGTGCTCTTGTCGAGGAGTTGCTCCATCGGCTCCCAGGAGGTCGCGTGGGGTCCGAAGCGCGGTGCGAAGTGCGGTACATCAGGTGCCGTAGATGACCTCGACTCTATTACCTGCCATCCAGTGCGAGAAGCAAAGAAAACACACCCAAAACATCCTATAGTATCATCCAAACACTAGACTTACTCGAAACCCATAATTGTTTCAGTCAGCTGTGGGAGGTCGAGTCGGAGTGAGACCGCGGTTGGATTCATTAAATCTTAGGGTAAGAGTATTTACAATTTTAGATAGTGCAACCAGGTTGGGATTGCGGGGGTATCTCAAACTCTGCAAGCACCTCAAGTTCTGTGATCAGGGCATTTATGCAGACAACATGGCACTTGTAGAAGCGACTTGGTTTTCGGATTAAAGCAAGTTACTCTAGATAGGAAAGGCTTCGTATTGATTTGTCTTTTGGTTGTTGTCGTCATTTTTTGCATATTTGCTTGTTTGCTTTCTTGCTGGGTCGGAATCCACGAGTCGACCACAAACAGCAGAGCGTACCGAGTCCAGGCAAAGATCCCTTCAGCGCGTGGGTAACCTGTCCAAAAGACTGCCAGTCAGTGCGTGTTCTGTCAAGACCTTAAAAAGATGACCTTAAGGAACCGAATAGCAATGGCCTCCAACCTGAGAGATTTTTTTTTTCAGGAAGACTTCGTCATCCATGTGGGTCGCCACCCATGAGTTCTCAACACCTTTCTCACCAAGTCATGGTGGTCACTCTTCGGATGTTTGCATCAAAAAAAGCCCGGCGCTTGCTGAGGCAGTGGTAGACTCCGAAAACCAAGCAGCTGCTGATTTCCTCACGGCACTGGGTGCCGAACGCCGAGGCTGCACTGAGAGTGAGACCGGCGTTTTGGAGTGGATGAGAGTTGCATGTTCTGCACATGTGCCGCTGCTCATATGGATCTCGGTTTTCTTGACAAGACACTTGCTAGATCCTGCTCATCAGTCATTTTGTTTATCAGCTTTACAGCTGGCTGTACATCCTTTAGACGAGGGATGCCACGGGAGTAGGTCATTTTGGGTCCCTTTTGACCTAGGCAGCCTGGGTGAGGTGGCAAAGCTCCATGGCTGCAGAAATGCCGTGTCACAGGCTCATGACGCGAAGAGGCTCCTTCAGGCAGTCATTTCTCGATGACCCGCAACTGACCGAACGGGAGTCGGGACGAGCTTCTGATTTTGCCACCACGTTTTTCGGTGCAGCGAATGTCTGGATCTCATGGTTTTGTCCATCCGGAACCTGTTGTCCTCCAGGTTCAGAAAGGAGAAAGGGCAGTCGAATACTAAGAATGCGACATTGTAATTAAAATTATATACATGTAATTACCATCCACTAGCTTTGCTTTGCCAAACCGCCAATGAGAAGTCTTTCTGAACAGCTGCGTTTCCGCCACGTCCTTCTCTCACATCGTCTCACGAGAGCCAAAGCCTATATGGCTGGAAGTGTGGCCGGACCGCTTGCAGTTTGGAACTTTGGAACCAGCTCCGCACAATGAGGACCGCCCCTCTTGTGGCATTCGCGCTGGTCCTCTCTGCCGGGGTCTTCTTTCGTGCATCTTGTCAAAGGGTATGGACGCAGGATACGATAAGGATACGCGGCACCCTTTGTGTTTGGTTCAATCGAAGGTATGTTGGTTTAGAGCACTGACCAGCTGAAGCTGCCAGCTGAGGACGTCAAGGTGTTCAGGCTGAGCGGGAAAGGTTATCAATCGGAGTATTCTTGGCAAGGTCGGCTTGAGAAAAAACGTCCGGCTCGCGGCTCGAGTGGAAACCTGCATGAGATCATAAGCTCACATTGAAAGACACACCAACCAAAGAGAAAGAGAGAGAGAGAGCAAGCAAGCAAAGGCAAAGGAAAAGGATGCAAAGGCAAGAAAGCAAATATCAGCACAGGCCATTGCTTGGGCGGAGGATTGCTTTGTAAGTAGGGCACATGGTCACAAAGGTTGCTCGGCTATTCTACCAGCTGAAATGCGGAATTTGGTGCAAGATGGTACGTACAAGTACTACGAAAGCCAGCCGAAGGCGAAGGTTTAAGTTGCACTTGCATTTGTTGCATCATCAACTCTCTGCCCTCACCAGAAACCATACACACCGCCACTCTTTAGTTAGACCGCATACCGACCTAGCAGTGGCTGGCTTTCGTCCCTTCGCTTCTCAGGTATTTTTATAAATTGAGTGAGTCAACTGTTGGTTCTGTATAGCCCACGTATACGGTTTATTAATGTTTATTCCACTTTATGACTATGACTATGACTATGACTCTATGACCACGATTTACAGACACTAACCAAATCCTGCCTGTTGTTTTTGTTGCATCGATAGGCCCACATCTACCCCTCTTGCAGCCAAACTTGTTTTCAAATTAAAGCAAACTGGCCACCGCAACAGAGCTCCAAGCCGGACATGATTCGAGTGAACAAGTGGCTGAGACACTCCATGAATGACATTCCCATCTCGGCTGTGCAAAGTCATGGCTGAACCCCAAGCTAGTAGATAGTAGATAAAGAAAGGGGATTTCCTCAAATCTCGCTCTTGGTCTTGATGAAACATTCCAATATAAACTTAGCAATCCCAAAGCTGGAGAACCACAGCTACAGCCATTCTCCACCTCATGCACCATGGCCCCCCAGCTGCAGGAGGGCGAGGAGACGGTCGTCGCCCGCTGGGAGCATTCCTGGGCTCATTTGCCGGGCTGCCTCAGACGGTTTACAGCGCAGATTTTTTGCGTTTGTATGCTTTGTGAAGGGATTTGTGTTCCAACTGAATCTGAGAACTGATGGGATGCATGGAGATGAGACTCAATCGGAAAGCCTGATTTGTCCTCAAGATATTCAAGATGATGCACCAATTTGGCTGATTGAACGCACCACAAGTGCCGCCACAAAGATGAACAGAGAGCAATGGCCTGGGTCAACGTATGTCAACGTCAAATATGATGTTGCTGACTCAAACTTCTTTAATTCTTCGGAGCTGAAGTTGAACCATGTTGAACCTCTCCTGCATGCCCTGCTTTTCGAGGTTGGACCTGCTAAGGTACTGCAGAGCTGAACAGGCGTGGATGGAGCTCACAATTATCACTCATCACTCATCACGGCCAATGTTGAAAGGTTTCTGATTTCTGGCATCATTTTGTGAACATGCTGTATGGTTTGTATGTTGATACTAATTTAGGCTTGGACAAATCGCATCTAATTATCAATCATGCCGGTCACGCGATCCTATGGAGATGTTGCAATCCACACACACACAAATCTGCCGATCAATTCATATCCCATGAGATCTTTTGCCCATTCGCGTTACCCTGTGACATCCCTGCGACCTGGTTGCATTTGGATGCCACGATATAGTTACATATATACATATATAAATATATAGACATAGTTAGTTAGTCAGTGGCTCTCATAATGTTTCATGAATCTTTCCAAGCGTTTTCCATGTGTGGCAAGAGCCCATGTTAAATGCTTTTACATTTTGTGGGTTACATGGTTTCATGGTCGTGTCTTCGACGAGGAGCTCACCGATGAAGTGGTCTTACGTGCAGGCCTGATGCCGGTGGTCTCGGTCTTAGACTGTTGTGCTGGTCGACCGTCCGGTTGTCATCGATCTGTTGGAGTGTTTTGGAGGCCGGAGGCCCTACCTTTGCCAAATCAACTGGCCGAGCGCTTCAACGAAAGAAGCATGATTCAGTTTTGCAAGCGTGACGGCGCGACGGTTCCTAGGCAATGCTGTCAGCAAAATTCGAGATTTGCCTCTTGGAGAAAGATCTGGACGAAGACTTGAGGAAAAGGGCTCTTCAAAGTGCAAGCTCACCAACAAACTTCTTCAGCGGCATGACATTTTAAATCCGACTGTATGTTCTTCTCCAAGTCGTGCATGACATTTAGATGTGAACTGGTGTTCATTTTCCATGATTGGGTGTGCGTGACTTGGGTCAATCTTTCGTGTGATCAAATCCTTCATGGGTGATCAATTTAGTATATTGATATATATATATATATATAGGTGGTGCGGTCGTGGCAGGGTGTGAAGGGGTTAACTTTGGAAGGAACGTTGACAATCGCTGTGGTTGCTCCATGTTGAGACGTTCACAGTCACATGGTGGGTAACTCTGCGATACGTGAGCTATGGTGACATAAAACTGAATCATTTCAGCCCAGCATCCAGAAGAGCCATCACTATTATGGAGACAAAGGAGGTCCAAGGAGACAAACAGCATCACACAGCCAAACATCATTTTGGCCCAGGATCATTTCTATGCGAAATTGAGATCCCCCCAGCAAAGCTGTTCGGCTGTTTGGTAAAAATGGTGCCCCGCTCTCGCGTGTTTGTGTCGGAGCACTGTCTCAGCTTTCGGACTCTAAGGCAATACCATGCTTGCCTCCACTGCACGCCAGGCTCTTGACCATTTGTGGCACCACCCGGTGCGCCGGCGCGCACACTCGTGGCACGGAAGGTGAGTACTCCACACTCGGGCGCCTTGATGCTGCTAAGGGGTTCTACATTGCAAACTTTGGACACAGACGGTTCAATCCAATCTGAAGCAGACATTTCTTCAGAAGTGCTTGGTACACAACAGTGAGATGTTCATTAACCGTTAACCTTGGCAGGCAGCTTCCCACCTATGTCGAACCGACCGGGCCGAGGCCCTGTCACTCCACAGAAGAACTTCCCGGAGATTTTCGTGCAGATCCGTCGGGGTGCAGAGTCAGGTGAATTGGTATGCTACCTTGCTTCCCGTTGTTCAAGGAATTTGTTGCCGGTGTGCCACTGCAAACGAACTAGAACCAGAATCACCAGCCTGTAGTGATATTTTGATGAGTGAATGACATTTCCTGGCTCAAGCTGTGAGAACTCTTAGACATGGCTTCCACAGAGCTTATGCCATGACAGCAAGGCCTGCCTCAGTCTCGGACCGGACATGTCTGCCTGTCCTCTCGGGTACGGAGGGGACGCCAAGGATGCCCTCAGCTCCAAGGGCTCGGAATCTCCACCTGCTGAGTTGAGTGGGAAACGAGAGGTGTCCACGATCCCTTCGGCGGACGGATCCAATTTTCTGTACCCCTCGGAGAAGCAGTTCTTCACCTCAGCCACTGCGAAGGGTCATGAACTGGACCCGCAGGACATGAGCATGGTCATTGCGATCCACAACGCGGTCAACGAGCGCACCTGGCAAGATATTCTCAAGTACGAGACTGGGCAGTGAGTTTCAGGGTATGACATGGCCGGGCTGGGTGTGAGTTTAGGGTGATCTTCCCAGAGAGTTGTTCTAAATGAACCATCAGTGAAGATTGGCGAACTACTATTTTCATGATTTTCATGAGTTTGAAATTGCTTTGACAGCTGCTCACCGGCTCATGCAGCTCGAAAATGTGTTCCCAGAACACCAACCTTTGACAGGCTAATCAGCCCTGAGCTTTGTGAACTCAAGGCGCTGCAACCAGTACTGCGACCTTAGGAGTTTGAACCCCAAAGCTAAGTAGTCTCCTAGCAACACGTGAAAACATGTGAAAACCTGTCGGCGCCCCAGAACCCGGCGGTTGGAAAACACAGATCATGGCCCAGAAAGCTTGGTTGGGTGCTCCCTACCATGTTACCATGTCCCAAAGACGTGTCACACTCAGACCCACTGAGAGGACGAAAACGGCCCAGCGGAACCGAAACATCGAGATGGAGACCCCCCCCAACGGCCCGAGGAGAAGTTGCACGACTGCGCAGATCCCAAGTTGATCCGCTTCCTTGGACGACCGGGGGAGTTGACACCCAAGGCACGTCTCCAGGAGGCGTTCTAGAACATGTTTCTTTTTTTTGCGGTTGGATTGTTCTTTTTGGATCCACTCGCTTAGCATCAGTAGTTTACTGGGTACTTGAATTCCAATGTCGCAACTCGCGTCTCTCTAATTTTTCAGCCAAGAAAAGCTGCATTTTCAATTTGGAGGCCATATCAAGCGGGATCTAGATCAAAAGAAAAAATAACATGATCAAAGACGATAATAATCACAGGATCAAAAAAACAAATCTAAAAATAATCAACAACATAGTAATCCAGAGTAGGCCCCCTGGTCCATTGGTCCCCTGGTCCTTGGTGCATTCCTCAGTCCTTTGATCCCCTGGTCCCTTTTGTGGTTGTTGTTGTGAGGGTCCTGGTCAGGTGGCCTCGTGGTCCATTGGTCAAAACCACAAGGTTTGCGAAAACAAAACGCTGCCCGATTGCCTTGGTCCTTGCATCACTTTCTCAGTGCCCTTCATTGATGAGGCAATGGGGTGGGTAGTTTTCGAGGGTGATGTATTTTGTGAATTGTGGCGCCTTTTGAGTCTGATTGGCTTTTGATGGTTGGCTTGCTCGGAGGCGCGCCCTCAGCGCCACGAAAACTGCACTGCTTTTGCCAAAGTGCTGCGCCTACCACGACAGATTTTCTAGACTAAAGGCCACCAGGCACATATTCACACAAAGTATTGCACATGCTCGCCTAAGTCTTTTTGATTTTGGTGTGGTGGAGGAGCCCTTCATTGATGGGGCAATAGGGAGTGTAGTTTTCGATGGTGATGTATTATATACTTTAATTTTGTGGCACCTTTTGAGTCTGGTTGGCTTGTGCAGCTTACAACCCCCTCCAGCACCATGAAATCTGCATTACTTTTTGCGAGGTCACCCATCACATAGCCGCCATTCCACGCCAAATATTGCATGCTATCCCCATGTGTTGCGAACATCCGTTCATGGTCCTTTGGTCGCCCGCCCTGCTGTTGTCCTTCCCCTCGTCTCTTTTTCCTTTCGTTGTTCACTGGGAATATTTTGTTTGGATTTGTTTTTTTTCTTTTCTTTCTATTTATGTTTCTTTTATGTTTTTTGACCGCCGCTCACCCATACCAAGCCCTTGGCCTGAGGTTTGGGCAGCCTTTTCGGGCGAACCTTGCCGTTTGATCGCCACGACTGGCATGTGGACCGTTGTGGCACGCATGTACGACGCTTTTTCTCAGAAGCGGCTGCGTGGTTCCAGGTGTGTGGCGGGACAGGGACGAACCGTTGCGACCACGTGTCGAACAACAGTCTAACAGAAAGAAATTCAGGGGATCTCATGAGACCTGTGGTGCCCCAAAGGGACGTTCTTCTAAAGGAAGGGCAGAGGAGGAAGAAAATGTTGATGATTTCTATGTGTTTCTCTGCGAGACTGAGGATATGTGGTGGATTTCTACGATGGACAGCAGAGCCCAACACATCCAGTGTCCATCCACATCGACGCCCGTCCTGAACTCTCATGGGCTGGGCTGAAAGATCGCCTGATGCTTTGGTGGCGAGGCTGAGGGTCACCTAGGGAGAGCTGAACATGGCGCATTCAAGAGAAATGCAAAAAGATCGTCACTTCTGCTGATGAAGATGGAAGCACCCGGGTTGCTGAATACTGTACTGTAACCTTTTGTTTCTTCAGGGCCCAGGGGAGGATGGTTGCGGGGAAGTCTCTGCATGTAGCAGCAGAAAAGGAATTTGTGACACAGACCTGGTGTCCATGAGCATATCTCATCATGCCTGAAAATGAGGGGACCTCAACCAGAAGAATTGAGTAGTTTTGTATCGGTTCCGCTGTTAGGGCCGCTAGGGGTTTGTCGGGATTCAGCTATATATATATATTTAGATTAATGATTAATGTCAATTAATGTCACATGGTCCAGCATGACGCCTCCTTGGACCGGAGAGCAGAGCTAGGCCGCGGCTCGACCTTCTTTTGGGGCGAATCGGTGAAGTTGGAGTGGAGCGCCCGGCAGCCTATCGGGACCAATAAGCCACAAGCATTCATTTGATCTCATTTGCGTCATTTGGCTCAGTAGCAGCGTAGCAGGAGGGATGGAGGTTAAATGAGGTTCAGATCGAGGTCTATGCAAGCGATTCTGGGACAACAACCACTGAGTCTCGGTCTGAATGCCTTACAGAGACACCATGGGAGAGTGGCTTTTCTTTCGGAAGACCAGACTCTTCATTTGATCTTTGCACGGGTTCAGGTGCCCACCAGCCTGCGGCAGGACACAGATGGGCGTTGTCCTAGATTTTGATGGTCAACCTCCTCCACCTCGGCCATGTGATTTCTCACCAGGATGCAGATAAGCGTTTGAACTTTGCATGTGAATCTTGGAGCCGTGACGAACAGCGTGTAGCAGGAGTGTTTCCCTCACGATCACCATGCATGGTTATTGCATGGTCACCAAGTACGGCAATTCCCATTTAGCTCATTTGAGCTCCAGAATTGCAACTATGCCAGTTTTGAGAAGCATCGGAACACATAACCCCAGAAACTCTGTGGAGATCGCTGCCGGCCACGTCACGCCGCTTTGCTCCGCTCTCAGGAGACCACCTTGGAGATTCTGGCAGTGACGAAGAAGTTGAACGTGGAGAAGTGACATCCCAAGTGTGAGCGGATTGAACGATGGATTCGGATGGATTCGGTGAATTGATTGGATGTGGCGGTTTGAGGCGAATATCCCCAGAAAGTGGGAGAAACATCACAAGGTTTTGGAACGGGCCGCAAAGTTGCAGAAACGGTGTGAGCCCGTTTGCAGCTCAGGCTGGCCGAAGGTTTGGTAGCTGAAGCTCCCGAGGCGGGGTGGGCATACACTGGGGGTACAGGGTGCCATTTCACACAACCGCTAGGGATCACTACTAGGTGCAAGGATGCTACTAGGGGCGGCCTTACTACTAGGAGCAACAAGAACGCTACTAGGAGCTACAGAACCACTATGGATCACTGGGGTCACTAGGGTAGAGTCGGACCGAGTGGTGTCCTGATTGCTCAGGAATTGTCATTTGCTTGTGGTCCTTGGTCCTCGAAGGAACTCACCAGGGTGCAACATGGGGTGGACCAATATAATGTTCTTCATTTTTGTGTTGTGGGATCGAGTTTTAAAGCAATGGGACATCCTGCTGGCACATTGGGGTTCAATGCATGCGTGCCTCATATAGCTGGCTTGACACATTGGGTGTGAAGCTTTGCTCTTGCTATTGTCAAAGTAAGTCGTTGGTATGCAGCATGCAGATCATGAACAGAAGGCTGCACGCCGCCGCACGCATCAAATCTTTTTGTTGGTGCCAGACCCCCAGGACCCCTGCACATCGCCATGCACCCTTCCAGGGCCGGACCATTCAGAGCAGCTTGCAGAGTGTGGAACTCTTGCATGGCCAAGCGACTGTGGAACTTTGCCAGGCTCCTGGACCATTTCCAAGGACTTCGTCCCAGGTTCTGGCGGTTCGTACGGTCTTTTCTGAGCCTTTGTGTGTCAGGGCCTTGGGCTCTTTTGGAGGATTCCCCTCCAGGGGTGCGCGGGGGGGCCACCCTTGTACGTCAGTTGGTACCTCAATGGGTCCCACCGAGGCCCGGAGTGCGAAGGGATGATGTCTTGCTACTTGCAGGCTCCGGACGTGGGACACGAGTGAAGCGGTCGTGAAGGCAGTGAAGGGGAAGGTTTTCCCAACAACGTAGAAGCGCGAGCTTTCCTGCTTGGTTTAGGAGAGCAAGCTATCCTGCCCTTACTTAATTGAGTAGCCGCCTACTTAATTAAGTAAGTAAGGGTGGGCTGAACGGGTGGAGCAGCCCATGGTCGCCTATGGTCGAGCCTTGTTGATTACAACTTCCTTGCCATGATTCGACTCAAGACGACATAAGACGACAAGAGGTTCACACGAGAAACATTGGTTTGTTCAAACTGTCTAGGTTGTTCACACGAGGGAGCCCGGTTCATTTGAGATTGTGAACACGTGCGACGATTAAGGAATATTTGGGGAGTGGGCTACTGCGCTTTGCATCGGTATGTCGCAGCATAGGGAAGTTGAGTCTGCTCAAAAGTACCATGGACCATCTCGCTTCAAACACCTTGCCATCTCCCGCTCTGTGTCCTCTCACAGCGCGCGTGTCGTCTCTCTCTCTCTCTCTTTTTTGTGCTTGCTTACATCCCACATCGTCCCACACTATCCCACACTCCCACAATTCCGAACATGTTGGTGTGAAGGTTCCACGGTTCCTTAAAATCACGATCAATGCATGCTTGACCTGCAAGACTCTGGCTCAGATATGCCGCTAGACACCGCAGGGTTAAGGACCATATTGCCAGAGCAAGAAGACATGCCGCCGGCCGCTAAACGAATCGCACGCTGACACTGATCCCACTTAAAGGTCACGTGCTTAGTCAGCATCCTGAGCATCCTGACTCCTAACGCTCCGACTTCCGAAAGGCGCAAACCTTGAACAAACCCATGAAACCAGAGAAACCATGAATCAAACCATGCCCAGACCATCGACCCCTTCGGGCCTTTTTCCACTCCACGGCGCGTCTTTTGGGAGATCCCCGCGGTCTCAAGGGGCTGTTTGCCCCGCTCCGCCGGCCCGGGCGCCATGGTGGAGAGAAGGAGACGCCGAGCTGGAGTGGAGAGTAGCATGGCGGTTGGAATCCATTGGCAAATAGACGTGAACACGAAACATCATGAAACACCAGAATGTCAATGAGACGGGGTGGCAAATCACAATGCAAAACGAAACTCCTGCTTGGGCCAATCACTCTCGCGCAGGACCCTGAAGGCTGATGTGACCTGTTGCAACCGAGCGGAGGAGGAACCGGGAGACCAGGTTGTTATATCCAAAAAACATATATATATATATATATCCAAAGCTTCCAATAAGTGTCCAAGTTGTCAGGTGTAAGTCTCCTTTGGTGCGGAGGTTTGTGAACTGAAGGGTCCAGCCGGCATTGGAGGCGTGATTGCCTCCAGAGAAGTGATGCATCCAAGATGTACAAAGTAATTAGGACAGACTGGACATGACGAACCTGGCCTCCTTGGATCATCTTGGATCATCTTGGATCATGAATCTCTTGACTTGTTGATGTTCGCCGGTCGGAAACTACGGTACTATTGCTTGCCCCAGGCTCAATACATTGCCGTCCTCCGGGTGGCTCCACTCGAAGGACCTCAGGCACTCCTTGAGACAGTACCATCCAACCCCGCCTGTCGGCATCCAAGGCGAAGACTCTCATGGATCGCCACTGGGCCTGCTTGGGGACTGACATGACTTCTTGGCACGATCCCGACGACCCACACGGACCCACCTCCGTTGCAAGACATGCACCCCCCCGGCCCCACCCACCTGACAAAGGTGGCAAAGATGTGACGCAAGGACGACTGAAAAGATGTGAAGTGTCTGTCGAGTGCCTGGAATGACACCAAGTGTTGATCCATACCCCGACAACCCGCGGAGTGTCAGCTCATCCATGCGGTTTTCCAAAGCAGCTGCCATTTACGTGGAAGGGCTTGGTCAAAAAGGGAAGTAGCTGGTAGCGTTCGCTGAGTTTACTTGGGGACCAGCCTTGTTCAAGAAGCTTCAACACCAGGAAAGCGGAGAACCTGCATTGAACACATCACGTTGAAGCAACCGATGCTTCCGGAGACCGTGCTTCGTCAGGAAAGCTGAACCGTCATTTGGAGAAAATGGAGACTCCCACCGAGGAGGTGGATATTGGACGCCTGGTCTGGATAGAGACCGCCCCCCGTATAAGGGAAAGCGAAGCAACCTGAACTCATTCGTTGTGGTGCTGCCAAGGAAACTTTGAAACCATCGAGTCTCTTCTTGGGAACCAAATGGAGGAGGTCTATATGCAGCTACTTGGCTCAGCAAGTAAGAAACAACCAGAGGCCAGTTGATATGAGATGATATGAAGAGCTTGCAGCCAGTTCGTGCCCATGAGCAAGCTTCTGAGTTCCTCCCCCAGGCTGCAGCTACACTATGCTACTGCCATCCGCCTTTTGTCTCATCGAGATGCGGTGGCAAGGAAGTATCAGGAGGAGCAACGGCGGATCCCGGTGTGCTGTACGATCCCCGGGCTCCAACCACAAGAAGATACCTGGGGCTCCTGGCATCGCTACTAGGAGCAAGGACGCTACTAGGGGCTCCTGGCCTTACTACTTGTAGCTTTTTCGCCAATAGCATCATGATCCCAAGCCTGGAAAACATCGTCACGCGAAACGGGCCCTCCAAAAGGAACAGGTCGAGTGGTGGCATGGCTGCATGTCCTGAGCCTTCCTTCCAAGACGAACTGCCGGGCTTGCTTTTCTGTTAAAGATGTGTGGCCATAAGCTACATCCGATCCGAGCATCAATAAGCGAAACTTGTTATGTTGCCAGCTCCCTTCCGGCATCCCCAGATGTCCTCTACACGGGAAGGTCTTCTTGTTGGCATGCTGTGTCAACCTACGCTTTGAAGATTTCTGCACGCTCCAGCAGATGCGGGGACTCGCCTATTTTTTTAGTGCGTTCCGTGTTCACCAGGAGAATGAACAACTCCGCACCCAGTTGGAGGCCCTGAGGACCAGAGATCCCAGGGAGAAGGAATTGAAGACCACGAAGATCATGAATACCCAGCTCAAGCTCTACAAGGAGACGGAGAATGTGTCCGGATCTGAGGGAACATAGGGAAAGGCGGGGTAAGGGCTTGCTTACCACATACAACGCCGATGCAGTCTCCAAGTATATATGTGAGACGTTCAAAATTTCCTTCAGCATCCAACTGTGTTATGGACTGGTGGCTGTTCCACAAGCCAACAGAAACTGGGATTCCAAATATTTCCAAATTATGTATGTAGCAAGACGTGAAGTGGCTACCCGTGATGGCAATGTGACGATATGTGACGATCCCCTACACGGCCATCAGAGTCTCAACACGGCCGTTGCCATCAGGAGAAGTATTTGGATCGTCCGGTCCTCATCAGATCGATCTTTTGCCTGACAAGTATCGGGCACGAAGCCAGGTTCATCGAGGAACCCAGGTATCCAACATAGGACTTAGGAGCAGAGCCGCGGAGCTCGTGAATCATTTTGAGCAGGAGCGTGTTCCATCAACTTCTCACCATTTCTCACCTCCAGGAGAGCCATGTTTCTTCACCAAATCGCGCATTTCTCATGCGTCCAGAAGTCTTTCACATCGGTCCGCCCAGGTGACCGGGTTGCCCGAGCAATCGAACTCGAAAACTTCGAGCTACGAGAACAACTCAGTGCTTTGCAGCAGGTGGGGTGGGTCGACCAGAAGGGAAGGCACTCACCAAATATGCCTCAATGTGATCTATAACTGATATAACTACTTGTAGCCGAGATGAGTTGTGGGAGATCGCATCGCTTTGGCATCTCATTCGTGGGGGGGGTGTATTTATGATGCAGCTTCCTCCCTTCCAATCAAACAAATCAACGCCTCAACATGTTCAGGCCATGCTCAATGCTTTCAATGGCAACGGACTGACCCTAGCTGCTTCCATCATCGACCTCAGGTGGGCAATGCATATGTCCTCGGAGGTGGCCAGGCTCGGCTGTGGGGAAGGGGTACTCGTAGCTGTCACAGCTATATGGGATTTTTGTTTTGGTGACGCATGTGGCCGTGTTCTTAGCTGGTGAATTATACCATGCATACTGTATACGACGCAACGCAAAAAATACGGCAAAATTGCTGGCTGGGCAGCCTGGCACCTCATTGAAGGTGTCACTCGTTGGCAGAGTGCGGTGTTTTTCCTCCCCGTGGCCGGCCAGGATCTGGCCTCGGCCATGTTCCCACCTGCGAGAGAGATGAACCCAGCAAGCCCCAGCGGAAAGCCGGAGATGCTCTTTGGAAGCCCACACAACGACACTCGGCGAAGAATGCCCACACACACGAGACATGAAGAAATGCATCTTGGCTGTCGACTAACACGGGAAGAACACTGCAATCTAGACATGGACATATTACCCTCATTGCTACAGATTGTCTAAAAGAGGATTGTAACATGTTGTAACAGTTGCAACAGGTAAAAGGTGTCAACACTCAAATTGTATTCTTGGTTCCGTGCTAACCTCCAGAAGGCGGAAATCCATTGTATAATACAGTTAGAAAAAGCATTTGAACCTGATGAACCACCAGTTTGAAGAATTGGAAGGAGATTTAAGAACCCAAACAAACATCATTAAGAATGAAACACATCAAGAACAACAACACCAAACTGTAAAAATCAAAGTTCTCGAACATCCTCCGAAATTCTGGAAACTCTATATAAATCGAACAATCTTTTGGACAGCCTATTCTTGAAGGTTCACGGCTCACATGTTAAAGCTGTTTTGTCTCGTTTTGTCGTTACTCACTCCCAGTTCAGCATCATAAACGTATCCAAAGTTTGGAAGAGAATATGCCGGAACATATTGAAAGGAACCACTTGACATACTGACAAGGTGACAAGGCCCACTCAGGAACTCTTCCTCTCTTGATTTGAAATGGTGGGCCCGTCCAGAACGCGACTTACAATTCCTACTCGACCCTCGCAGAAATTCAATCCTGAAACATCCAATGGAGAGGAAACAAATGAACTGGCAAAAAAAATGGAAAAAAGGAGATCCCTTGGTTTGAA